TTCCGGGCCGCCGAGCTCGCGCGCCCTTCTGCTCGCGAGACCTACACGTCACTTCCGATAGCTTCCGTAGGAAAAGTCCCGCCCCCTTCTCCACCGGCCTGACACTGGGGATGCTAATAACTCGGAAGCGTCAGGCTCGGCGTAGGGTCGAATTCTCAGGGTCTGTACGCAAGTCGATGTGTTAGGGGTCACGGGTCATGAGTGGTACTCGACTGATTGATTCTATGATTTGCATGTAGTCCACGGAATTGGAATTATCAGACTTGAAGGTAATAGCAAATGAGCCTCTGAGAACAGGTCTCTTCTGGGATTGGTGCGGGCGAGTGGGCTGGGCACGAGCGGGTGCACCGAGAGGACCTTCGTGTGTGGGATTTTCATTTTGAGATTTGTGTGTGTGTGTTCTTTGAGGGTTTCATGCGTGTCTTTATTTTAACATAAATCTCTCCAAACCCTAAACGTCATATTCTTCGTATGGTCCCCACCCCGTCTACATTTTATCTTTTTCAGAGCCCTGCCCTACCGTAACCCACTGGTAAAGGCCACCATAAACATGAAAGAAACCGCGCTAACCGGCCCGTTTATTCATTACCCTTTCCGTACATCTTTTCAAAACCTCTTATAATCCCAAACCACCCAAAGATATGACGTTGTTCCAGGGTGAAAAGTTTCTTCCGGACATGTGAGTCTCCCATCCGACCTCACGGATCCTGCTGCTTCTCAGCCTTGCTGTTTCAGGCTTGCCAGTGCAGTGGTTCTGGGTTGGAATTGTTCCTGGATGCACTACAGGGTTGCAAAGACAAGCTTGGTGTGCTCTTGGTCCAGTAAGGCATATTTCTGAGTGGTGGGTTGCACAGGGGAAGGTATCCGCCTTTCCATTTGAGTGGGTTAACTGCTTCATGGAACCTAGGTGTTTTGTTTTGAGACGGGGTCTCATGTAATCCAGGGTGGTCTAGAACTTGTTATTCCTCCATCTAATTCAGGCTTGTCGCACTCCACCAGGCTGACAGTAGGGATGCTAATCACTCAGAAGTGTAAGACTTGGCATAGAATCAAATTCTCAGGGTCTGTATGCAAGTCGGTGTTGTGGGTCACTGATAATAAGTACCCGACTAATTGATTCTATAATTTTCATGTATTCCATGGAGTTGGAATATCAAACTTGAAAGTAATAGCAAACGAGCCTCTGAGAACCTCATTTGCTGTGTATGGCAGATAGGAGTGTTTCCAGTTTCCACAGATGGGATATAATTTCATAATTTGCCCTCAAGAATAGGAGATACTTAAAACTACAGACAGGATAATGTTGACTGGGCCATTCAAATTGGTTCCTACAGTTCACTTTTTAAATATTCTATTCTTAAAACATAAGTCAAGGTTTGTTGACATATTTTTGTTTTTTTGAGACAGGGTCTAAATAGCCCTGTCTGACCTGGAACTCACTATGTAGACAGACCTCAAACTCAGATATCTGCCTGCTGACTGCTAAGATTAAAGGCCTGGCCTTTTGTTATGTTTAGCTGTAGAATGGCTCCACACTCTTCGGGTTTCCTAGACTGACATCCCTCCCCCCCCCCTTTTATATGTGAAAAGGAGGGTCAAGAGATTTTTGTGAGAACTAAGTGAAAATGTATCTGGACCTTAAGTGACCAATAAAGAAGGAAGGGCAGTTCTCTTCTGGCTTCAGATATGTGGCTTTCTCCTGTGGTCACACAGTTCCTGCTCCATGGACTTACTGTTCACTGGATCACTGTCTCCTTAAATCATAGTCATCTTTAGGTTGGGACTGACAGTACTTGCCCTATTTTATTTTGTAATTTCACTATGGTCTATACCCTGGTGATCCCTAAAGTCCTGCCTCGAACCTAGATCTGCAAGAGTTTGAGAATTACCTAACAGCACTCTGGGCACACCCCTGTCAGATAACTCCGTTATCTTAAACATCTAAAATTCATCCAAAGCCCCACCACCAACCCCGATCGCCTGGGTTTCATAAGTATCTAATGGCAATTTATTGGAGAACTCCAGTATTTAAAGCAATACATTCAAGGAAGAACTCATTTTCTTAAATCTGCCACTTCCTTTCCCAATTAGACTATAAACTCCATAACAAGAGGCACCATGTTAGGGCACTCACTGGATATACTCCTGGAACTTAGAAAAATTTCTAGCGTAACAGAGTTAAATATTGGAAAGATGGAATGGATTCTTTTATGTAAACATGATGCTGTGAGAGAACATTAGCAAAAGCCATGCGTTTCCCTTCCACAGACTGAGTTGCTGTTACTCTGGAGTAACTGCTAAGTATAAAGTTCTTGTCTCTATTACACACACACAACTTCACTTCAGTGGTGGTAAGCACTATATAAGACAGTTATCAACCTTAGAAAATTACTCCCTTTTAATCATTTACAAGATTTGGGGCCCGTTATTTTTGTTTTCTTTGGTGGGGTTGGGGGATGGGAGGTTAGATGGGTCTTACACCACAGCCCAGATTGGCCTGGCCTGAAACTTGCTATGTAGATCAGACTAGCCTTGAATTCATGGCAATCCTCCAGCCACAACTCCTCAATTTCTGAGATTACAGGCATGAACAACCACACCCAACCTCAAAGGTTTAAGTTTGTGAAGATGTAGACAAACACAGCAGTTCTTAGAAATATGTAGCAGACACTCTTTTAACATACAATTGCATCTCAGAATGACTTCTTTAAAAAAAAAAAATTAAAGTCAATCCTAGACCTCTTGCTGCAGGCAGTTTCCATGGGAATATATGGAAAAGAGGCAGGGAGGCAGCCCCCATGGGAGACTATAGTTTCATTTCAAAAACAGGCTCTGACAATTTCCTGTGAGGTTCATAAAGTGCCTTTTCCTTTGTCTAGTCATCCAGAGTGAAGTCAAAAGGTTCAAAGTCTTTCCGGAAGCGTCGAGCCAGGGTCTCCTCCTCTTCCTTACTAATTTGACACTGCCTCCAGTCAGCCTTGTCAGGAATGTTGAGAATGGCTTCACTGGCCAGTACCTCCCTGGGGAGAGAGTACACAGAAGAGAAAATGCCAGTGGTAACTGAAACTCACCCATCCTCTGTTCTCTGCAGCCAGCCAGCCAGCCAGCTCTAAACAGCAGCATCTAACGAGTATGCAGATTTCTTACCGCTCATACTGGTCTCTGGCCCCGACTCACATCTCCCCATCCTATCTATCAAAATCGATGCCATATTGAGTGATCTCTCCCACCCCATTTATTTCTCCTTCCCTGGAAAAACTTGGAACCATATGAGTACTTGGGAAGGAACACCACATACAAACTATACAATAGGCCCTGGTGTCAGGAAAATCAGATAATTAATTTCTTTCCAAGCCCTGCTATTTGATGTCTATGACTCTTCCCCTTGATTGCAGGTTCACTTACAAGAGCGCCTTCCATATAGGATTTGGTGGAGTACAGAAGCCATACAACCAAAGCACATTCCCAGCAGCTGTTACATATTGTCTTAAACCATAGCTCTGGCATTTGGACTAAACAGGGAGTTGGAGGGCCTGGTTCAGACACGTCATACCCATTCTCACTTAAGACTCCTCCGCCCTGTCCTTCTAGGCAACTCTCATTTGCATGAGTCACTGAGAAGTTCAATGTGAAAAAAACATTGTACACAGAAACATACAGTTGCAGCTTCTGATTTCTAATGGTTTATATTTTTACCTTTATTTTAATATAGTAGAAATAATTCTATCTGACTCATTTCAACTTTGATAATACAATAAATAAAAAAGGTGAAAATGAATCACAGTGGTCCTCTGAAAGTCAAAGGATCTAAACTCAAATTTTGGTTTGCCTGGCAAACTTGAGCATGTTTCTTCATATGTAAAATTAAGATATAAACATTTTCTGTATTAAGTATAAATACATCAATTGTATGGCTCCTCAGTCCCATTTTCAAGTATCCAACAGCTACACATAACTTGCGATTACTGTATCAGTGCAGCTCTATAGAGCATTTTCATGTTTGTATGAAGTTCTGCGGGGCACTGCTGAGAGCACCATGCTTCACTCCGGTAACTGGGATAACAGGATGTAAACAACAAAACTGGAAGGTTAAATGAGATGACACAGTGTGAAGTTCCTGCTGGTGTCTGACCCAGCAGCACATGCTCAGTGGTAGCACTTTATTCTACGAGGAATGCTCCCATCCTGTCTTTTCCCCCTTTGGTCTATCTCTAAGTTCACTTTCAGCCCTTTCTTGGGATCTTACATTTAGTAGAAATGAGTCCTTCCTTCTCTGAGTTTCTAAAGTACAATATTCCTCAAAATTCAATCATGGTACTGTATGGTGATATATTATTTATGATTTATTAAAGATTGCCTGGTTGGGCGGTGGTGGCGCACGCCTTTAATCCCAGCACTCGGGAGGCAGAAGCAGGCAGATCTCTGAGTTTGAGACCAGCCTGGTCTACAAGAGCTAGTTCCAGGATAGCCTCCAAAGCCACAGAGAAACCCTGTCTCGAAAAACAAAACAAAACAAAACAAAACAAAACACAAAAAAAAGATTGCCTGAAGACCAGAAAAGCAAAGCAGCCAGCCACTAGCTTTTACTCTACCTCAGCTCAGACCAAAGGAGTGATCCTCAAACTGCTCCTGACTTCACTGCTCCCCAGATTCACTCAGACTGCTATGCTCTGCACAACGTGGCTGGAGACTCCTGAGGCAGACGACAGAAGACCCTGCTCCTATCTTTCATATCTCTCTAGTGCTGGGATTACAGGCGTGAACTCTATTAAACTTTCAGACTGATTCATCTCATGTAATCTGGTGACCTTAAACTCAGAAAGACCCATCTGCCTTTGACTACTGAGTCCTGGAATTAAAGGTGTGTACCACCTGGGACTGGAGAGGTGGCTCAGAGGTTAAGAGCACTGGCTGTTCTTTCAGAGGTTCTGGGTTCAATTCCCAGCAACCAAATGGTGGCTCACAACCATCTGTAATGACATCTGGCTCCCTCTTCTGGCCCGCAAGCATAGATGCAGGCAGAACAATGCACACAAAATCAATCAATCGATCAATCAATCAATCTTAAAAAAAAAAAAAAAAAAGGTGTGCAACACCACTGCCTGATCTCTATAGCTTGAAGCTGACTTTGCTTTATGAATCCTCAGGCAAGCTTTAATAAATCATAAGTAATATGTCACCACACTTCCCCTTTTTGTCTAATACAAAAAGAAAAACTACTAACATGTATCAGCTCAGTACTGTTCAAATTCTACATCATATGATGGTAACACTGACCTGCTCTAAAACTGTAAGCTTCTTGGGGACAGACCATTCCCTAGTTGGTTTTTCATTGACTATGTTTTTATTATAGGTCTAACGAAATATACCAAATAGAGTGAAAACATACAAACCTTCCAAATTGCAAAGGAAAATTCTTTTTAATTCTGTGGAATAATTTTTCTCCTGTGTCGAGTTCAACATAAAAATACGCTGCTCCCGGCTGTGCAATCTGAAATGAACAGAGTTGTATGAGAACAAAGATCACAGTTAAAAAGCTCACTCGTCTCCTGTAAACTCCAATTTAGAAAGAATTTGGCCTAGAATTTTTTTTTTTTTTTTAAATGTAAGACAATATAGGAGTTAGAGTTTAAAAAGCTAATCTATTCCTAGTGGTACCCATCCTTCTAAATTCCCATTTTAGGATGTGTCTAATTTCTTTGTCTAACTCATATGTGTTTGCATATGTGTATACCTATTCCCATGTGTGTGATTACATATGTAGGTGACTCCACATGCCTGTGGGGGCCAGATGGCACTGGGTGACTTTTTCAATTCTCTCCACCTTGTGCTTTGAAACAGGGTCTCTCAATGAGCCCACAGCCTTTCAATTTGGGCAGAGATTGGGATCCTCTTGCCCTTGCCTCCTCAGTGCTCGGATCATAGGCACCTGTCCCAGTGCTTGACCTTTACAAAGCTGCTGGAGATCAAACTCTCAAGTCCTCTCTGAGCCATCTTCCCAGCTATGACGTGTCTAATCCCTTATTCTTCCTAGGAAACCACTAAGACTTCATTATAATGCTCTCTTCATCTCCAGTCCTATCAACATTCTGTATTCTAGTACCAAACGGCCCACTATTTAGTAGTTTTGGAATACCTTGACAGTACCTCTGATTCATCTTGTCAAAACCCAGATCTTAACCCCTCCCTGAACATCACCACCCGTTCCTGCTTCACCTGCTTGATGTCTGAGTGCTCTGGAATTTCCAACAGCTCTATCTGTTGCTCCTGTGCCTGGGTAATGAAGGCATCTTTAATATCATCCGTAACACAGCAGCTGAGGGGCACAGGAATGACCTGGGTTGGTGTGGGAAAAACACAAGAAACTCTTTGTCCTGATTCCAAAGAAGCTGTCTTTAAAGTCTTAGAGGAATAGGAAATCCATCACTGGGGTGGTGGTGAACACCCCTCAGCACACATTCTCCTCAAGCCAAACGGCCTCCATCGGCCTGGCTATAGGACTTAAACTTATGAGAACCAGTTACTTATGGGAGCCGATCTATCATCAGGAAACTCCCAAGAGAGACTCTTTGTCTCTAAGACTTTGCCGGCTCCTGCATAATGTACGTGGCAGAGTCAGGCCCATCTGAACACTTAACAAATGTGCCAGAAAGACGCTACCACCAAAGACACAAAGCACTCAACTGCTGATGTACCAGCCCATGATAGCTGGAAACTGCTTCCTACCTCTAAGCCTTCAATCATGTGGGACTTCCACAGCCCATGTCTTTACCTGCCTTGGAACCTTTCTTAACTACCCACTCCTTCTAAACAGGGCACACACCATCCTGCTAGTCACTTACCCCCAGTATGAACTTCCCTATGAAATCTCTGGGATTATCAGGAGATACTCTCAGCCCTCTAAATAACCACTATTGGAATATTATCATGAAAATAAAATTAAATGTTCTAAGTATTAAATTCAATACTGAGGTCATAATTACTTAAATATTTATCAATCTCAAGGTCCCCATAGGATCTCCAAGTTCCTGGGCAGATGACACCTACCTGAAGCTGGAGATGATGGCTCCTATAATTTCTCTCAAACAGGACACAGCGCTTCCCCCGACTCTTAAAGAATCGTTTCAGAGTAGCCTTATACTTCTCCACTTCTTCCACCACCTCTGCCGAAAGCTCCACAACTGACTGGTAGTGTCCAATAGGCAGGATGAGTACATGGTCATCAGATAAGCCTCCTTTAGCCAGGGCAAGGTAGCACTACAGAAGAATCACGGAGCAAGACAGAAGCTACTTACACAGATGATCTTCCAGAGAGAAACTCCTATACATACACAGTGAGCCTGACATACATGAGCAAATGCTCAAGATGTGCTGCCCGCCATCCCTGCAACCACATAGGTTGACAGGATCCTGCTATATTATACAGGGCAGCCTCAAACTCACAATCCTCCTGACTCTGCATCCCGAGTACTAGGACTACAGCCCTGCACCACTACACGCAATCCAAGATGTTCTTAACAAAGATCACATTTGAAAAGATTTGATTTTAAAGGAACAGGAGCTGGAGAGATGGCTCCGTGGTTAAAAATACTGGCTGCTCATGGGTGGTACTTTTTGGGATGTAAATAAATAAGATAGATGCATGCATGCATAGATGGATGGACGGATGGATGAGAGATATTCCAAACACTAAACTGTAAAATAAAATAAAATAAAAATGTAAATCAGTGAGGTGGCTCATGCACTAATCCCAGCAGTCAGAAGGCAGAGGCAGGTGGATCTGAGTTTGAGGCCAGCCTGTCTACTTATCAAGTTTCAGAACAGCCAGGGCTACACAGAGAAACCCAGTCTCAAAAAACAAACAACAACAACAAAGGTAGAAGATTAAAGTCCAGCCTCAGTCCAGGCAAAAAAACCAATAACAATAAAACAAAATCAAAATCGTCAAGAATGCTGCACTGTTCTAACAGCCATTGTCTGCACGGTAGATGCTCTGAGTGAGCAAGCAAAGGGCCAAGGAATATGCAAATACATAGGGACT